AAAGCTAACTCAGAGCTGGAGTTTTACGTTGGAGTTGAAGTTGCTTCAAAGTACCAGTAAGCTCTACAGTTGACCTCGTTTGTGTGGCCTCTTTTCCACATGGCCCTCATTCCCTCCACGGAAACCATTTCTTTTAGTCCCCTTTCCCACTGTCCTCTTTCACTGCCCCCTATCATTTTCCCTTCACCTTCCAATGACAGTGACTTGCTTATTCCCTCCCTTCTCGCCGACTCCGGGATGTGTTTTCTTGCCCACCATCTTGATCAAGCCTTTCTGCAGCAGTGTGGGATGTCGCCTCTCTGCTTTTCTGTAGGACACTGGAGTCTGTTGGTTCCTGGTGGTGTCCTTGAGTCTCACTGAGGTGCCCTTACCTCCATGGATCGTCATGTGCTGTCAGAGCATGCCTCACTCAACAGAGTCTGCATCCCTACTTTCTTAACACCTACCAGGCTGGTACTCCTAGAGGTAAATTTATTTTTTCTTCATTTCCAGCCCTAATTGATTCTTCTGTCAGGAAGCTGGGGATTGAATGCAATTGTCCCTATCCCCCACGTTGATTCTCCTACTTGCAAGATGTAGAGTTGATGGCGTGGCTCCAGATTTTCTCTCTTGATACCTGGTCTTCTGCTCTTGCAACAGCAGCAGCACAAGGATCTGGGAGTGCAAACCCCTGGGCCCACATAGCAGGCGGGCCTTAGGCCACACAGTGCTCCCTGCCACTCTTCCCACTCTCTTGTGGTGGCACCAGACAAACAGCACTTACTCGTTTGATGTCATGAAGTACCAGCTGCAAGAGTTTTACAATGTTCCTCTGGGATCTGTGAGGATGGGAAGTGGGCGCTAAGACTCAGACACTGCTGCATTAGAGGGTGACCTCGGTGTGCAGAGGTTACCTGTGCCTCTCTCGGGGGCAGCGTGTGGGAAGAGAGGGACAGAAGTACAGCTCTGGGAGGGGTGGACACCTATTAGCCGAGCATCCTACCCCTCTGCCACCGGCTGTTTTGGGGATGGGCCGGTAAGGTGCACTCTTGGGTCTCTTTGCTCAGTTTCACTCTTGCACTTGCTTTCTGTGGATGTAAAAGCCTGGTGCTACTGGCAGCCCGTTGGTCACCAAGATAAAATAAAGTAAAATAAAGTAAACAGTGCCTGTTATAAGACTGAATGTTTGTCCCATGCACTTCATTATGTGAAAGTGTTAGGAGGCGTGGGTTTTGGGAGGTGAGAAGGTTTAGATGAAGTCATGAGGGAGGAGTCCCAGGAAGGGATTATGGAGGAAAAGCCTTCAGATTCCTCTCTCAGTGCACACAAGAAGAGGTCATGTGAGCTCACAGCAAGATGGTAACCACCTTAAGCCAACAGAAGAGGCCTAGGAAAGAAACCCGTCTTGATGGCAGGTTTTAGACTGAAGGTGAGAGACACATTTCTATTGTTTAGGCTGCACCGTCTGTGGTATTTTGCATGGTAATCCAATCTAAGATAGTGTCTTAGCCAACGAATGTGGGGGCTAGAGACTGGGGAAAAAAATGGACGCTGAATCATTAGCTGGGACTCTGGATCCAGCCACACCTGAAGCCACCTGGACTTCTTAGTAGCATGAGTCCACCTTCATGTTACTTTGCTTTTCTTTATGCCAGCTGGAATTGGCTTTTCTCTTCTTTGTACACAATGACTTTAACATTAAATGGGAGGACACAATTACTCAGCCTTTAATAACTGGACTTTGAACAAACTGATCCATCTTTCAGGCCCCAGAGAGGCAACAATGCAGTGTGGTTTTCCTTTTCCACAAATATATGAGAGACAGAGTTGGTCCAGGGATGCTGTAAGCCCACCCTCCTCCCCAACTTGTCTTGTCCAGAATCAGAGGTTGTGAGGCTATCTCAGCTGCTCACCAGGGGCAGGCCTGGGCTGTGCTTCCCTATAGGTCACTGTGTTTGCTTTCAAATCGACCATCTCAGTCAGAGATTCCATCTCCATGTTAAACTCAGGAAACTGAAGTCAGAAAGGGTGACTTACCTCCTGTCACAAGGCTAGTCCAGTGCCTGGCTACTGTGCTCCATCTGGTGATCTCAACCTCCACTGGTCACTCACCTTCACCCCAGAAGTCACCAGGTCTGACCTCATCCCATCCTAGCTCTGTCTTCTCCAGGAGTCCAAGCCTCATGAGCCCTAGTCTTCCATGAAAACTGTGCCCTTCTTCCCAACAAATCTTCATCTTCTAACTTAACCTATCCTCACAGCCTTCGCACTGGACTTTCCCACTGTGCTCTTGGGATTCACAGTCCAGCCTCAAATCCTGCCCCACCCATAGCTCTCTCTCTCTCTCTCCCCCACCAAATGTTCCCCAACTGGAACCTATGGACCCCTGTGGACACCACCTCCCTGCAGTCTTCCGAGCGAATACCTTGTTGTTTAATGTCCTCCCTCGTGTTCCTCACTCCTATGGAATGACCAGCTGGTTTCTTTGCTGGAGGGTCACTTCCAGACTCCTCTCCTCTGAGCAGCCACCATGCATACTGGGCCTATGTGTGCATTAGAGACCCTGCCTACTAAGAGATTCCCTGTATCTTCTTCAAAATTACATCTGCAGCAGGAAGGTGATGCCTTCAAAGAACCATGCCCACACTACCTTGGGGAAGTGAGGCTCACACCCAGGTCACCAGCAAAAGCTAGAGGCGTTAGCATTGAGCTGCCACCTCTGACCAGGTCCCACCATCTCTTGGCAGTATTGTTCCAAAGGTGCTTTGCTGAGCTCTTGCTTCTGTGTCTCCCCAGCCTATCTCACCTGGCAGCTACAGTGGTCCTGTGGAAACCTTAAGTCAGGTCATGCCAGCTCTGCTCAAAGCTCCCGGGGCACCCATTGTAGTCAGGTGCCACAGGACACCTGGCCTCCCCCAAGGCACCATGTAATCTTGCCTTTCTGCCTCCCTCTGCCTTCTTCTTCCACTGCCTCCCTTCCTTCCTCTCTGCCCACACCTGCCACCTTGCTGCTCTGCCTCAGAGGCTTTGCATACGCTCTTTCTCTGCCAGGAATGTGCTTCCTGCTCATGGCTGGGGCTCAGCTTGCCTGCTTCCAAATCTTCCTGCCACTTTGTGCCTTTCCTGTCCCCTGTCTTGGTTTGTCTCTCTCTACGGTCCTTCACATCACACACTTAACTCTGTTCATTGCTCCCTCCTGGGATGTACTCCCTGACCTGAGGAACATGTTTTGTTCTCTTCCGTATCTCCAGGACCTAGAACAGAGTTGGCATGGGGAAATGCTCCAGGGAGGTTTGCTGAATGAATGACCAATCGGGGTGAAACAAATTCAAACATGGCACCTTTTTCATCTCTCAGATGTTACAGTCCAATAGTGTTATGTAAATGGTTTATCAGAAATGATTTTAAAAGCAATGAATACATGCAGAAATGTGTGTGAGTTTGGAGAGACAGATGAGATTAGGTGACAAAATCAAGCTGACTTTGTGCATGGTGTGCTTGTTATTAAAACAGTCAGACATGCCCTGGTCCCTGATTACATGTTCACGGAGCAGGAGGTGGGAGGCGTACAACTCAGTTTGTTGCCATTTTCACCTGTGTGGTACTGCAGTGGGGTGAAGGGGGAGAGAAACAGCTTTGAGTATATATACGCAAATATTCCAGTGGTAGATTCCAATAGTAAACACTTAATTCCAGTGGGAAATACATAAAAAATACTCAGATACAGCAAACATTGGGGAGGATGGGAAGAAATGAAACTCCCATTCTTTGTGGACCAGAGTGGAAATCAAAGCATCCCTTTGATGCTTGGTGTTTGGTAAGGGTGAGAGTGCCCAGTCCCCCTCCCCATCACATTCTTCTCTCCCCATTGATGGCTAGGGCCCTGCAGGGAGCAGTGCTGTCTGCAGCTGAGAAAAACTGGAAACCACCTAAATGACCGCCGATGTGGGGTGAGTTGATCAAATGCGATGTGCTGGTCAAATGGAATTCTACACAGCAGTGAAAGAAAAGAACTGGCCCTATGTGAGCCAAAGAGGAGGCCGAAGAGGAGGTGAACTGCAGAACCAAGAAAGACAAGATGGCCTTTCATTTGTGTTGTGCTGTATGTGCGTATATCACATTTGTGGTGTTGTGGGTATTGTGTGTGGTGTAGCTGTGTTGTGATGTGTGTGAATGCTATGCCATGGGTGTGGTATGTCTCCCCAATCCCGCACAGAACTCACAAGGATGTTGCAGTTACTGGGACCTACAGAATGCAACCTCACCTTTTAACTCAAGCTGATACATTCTTCTAGATCCTTCTCTGTCTTCCCTCCTTCAGAGCCACACTCTGGTGCCATGGTCCCAAACCACCCAGGATTTTGAGGATACAAGCTGTCAGTTCACAAACTCAATAAACCAACCCAGTAAAAAGGCTGAGGTAGCTTGAAAAGTGTCAGACAAATGGCTTTCCTGGGGAGCACATAACAGCCAATTGATGACAACAACCGTGATTTGGAGGGAAGGGGCTGTGAGCCCAGGGTTGACTTGGCCCCCACCAGAGGGCAATTAGTTCTTGCATTCACCCATAGCAGTCAAGCCCTACAAATGCACACCTATATCCAACTCACCTTGGTCAACTTTAAATTAGTTCCCTTATTTTGTTTCCTAATGAGAAGGACCGTTTTAAAATTTTTAAAAATTAAGGCAGCAGTTTAATATCTAATGCCCTGACTTACAGCACCAGGAATTATCAAGCCACAAAAATGAAAGATATGAACACAATGTTTGGATGCTGAAACTCATCCCAGCAGGTCTGCGAATGGCATACAAAAGGAGCAGTGAACAGGGCGCTAAGATCCACGTTAGCCGTGCTGCCCTACGGCTGTGAGTAATCACAAAAGCTTGTCCTCTTGATCAGGCGCTGTGAGGCTCTAGCACAGACTCCCAGGACTTTGGCACAAGTGCGAAAAGACAGTGGGGGGGGCGGGTCTGTGGTTGGTGCACTTAAGACCAGACTTGCCATGGTCACGGCCACTTACCTGAGACCAGAACAAGTGCTGAGGCTGACCATGGAACCAGCATATCCTTCCACATGTCCGTGGTAGTAACAATGGCCCTGGAGGGGAGTGGGGAGAAAGCGAGTTCAGTAATTGTAGCTTCTTGACCAGTTACAGTAAGTCAACTGCCTCCAGTCCTTTCCCCTCGTTTTTAATCGCAGTTTCCTTTTGCATAAGTGGTCGTAATAGTTAGTGCTAAGGCGAATGTGACCCACCAAGATCTACGGCTGGAGGATCTTATCCACTTAGAGGTTATCGTGAGGGCTTTAAAATGCATCAGCCCCATCCCTGCCTCTCTGACACCCTCTGGAAGAGTCCTGGGACAGTGTTGCACAAAATCCACCAGCAGAACAAATTGTGGTGACATGGTCATTTTACCCTCATGTGAATTGAGAGAAGGACCTGCAGGGGGTATTTAAGCAACACTGTGAAATGTATGGCTTATGAAAACAGAAAAGCACGTGAGAAGAAGGGAGAGGTGAGGAAAGAAAGAGGGGCCTCTCTGAATTACCCAGTTCACAGTTGCAGGAAGGCACAATGAGGTGGTGTAAGTTGAAGACAAAAATTCCCGTGTGACATGCCTGCAGCATTGTGGTGTCACTAATGTCACTGCTTGCAAAAAGAAACCACAGCACCTGAGGCTTCCTTAGTGGAGACAGATATCTGTTCGGACTCAAGGTTAAAGTTGCTGGCGGGTAAAGGTTATGCTACAACCCCACTAAGGCTGATGGGTCCTTCATGCAGGCCCTCTTCATTCAGGTCCTCCTTGTGCCAGTTGGGTATGGGGTCCCTACAGGGAAGGGGCTGCCACTTCAAAGAGGAAAGAGAAGCAGACACTGGTCCCAACCCTGCCCATATCAGCAAATGGTGCTTTCTCCCACAACAACAGTAATTTACAGACTACCTAGATTTTGCTAAGAACAAGGACCCTTGGGGTTGAGGAATGGAGGGAAATCAGCACCATGAAAAAGGGGCTACAATGACTCACAGAATAGAGGGCAAGAGTCTAGCAGGGGAAGGGAAGAAAGGAGGAGAGGGGAGAAGAGGAGACAGAGGAGAGGAAAGACATGGGGAGGCTGTAGGGAGACTTGTTATTTTGTTTGACTTTTTCTTATTGATTTTAGAGGCTCATTATGTAGTCAGGATATTAATATTTTACCTGTAATATGTGGGAAATGTCTTTTAACTTTGCTTCTGGCATCTTTTGTTGGTCCAAGTTTCTGGTTTTTATAAGTTCAAGTTTATCTACCTTTCTCTATCTGAGTTTTGTGCATTGCTTAAGGCAGCTTTCTCTGAGCTCAGGGTCTACTTGAACCATATCCCCATTTCCTTTTGCATAAGATATTTTTCAGTTAGGGTCCAGCTGGCTTCAGACCATGATCTTCTGCCTCCCAAGTAGCTGGGATTATAGAGATGTACCAACGTGCTCAGCCCTATTTTCTTCTTCTTTATTTTTTAAATAATCTTGCAATTAGCTCTTACCCATCTTGAATTTATTATCTGAAAGTATGAGGTTGGAATCGTAGCTTCCTGATAAGCTAAGAGCCAGTCACTCTCCGTAATCATTTGTCCTTTCTTCACTGATTTAGGATGCCACTTTGTCAAGTACCAAATACCCACACTGTTTGTGGTTCCGCCTTTGGACTCTCCAGTCCACTAAGGCAAACTCCCATTTGTGAAATCAATTATAATCGTTGTATACTACATTTTGATATCTGATAGAGCAAGTTCTCTTTTAAGATAAAGACTCAATTCCATACCACCAATTTCACCATTTTAAATGTTTTCAGTGGTTCAGAGTACATTTAGTAGAGGATTTTCTCCATCACTCAGGTCCACAGGGGTGTGAAATGACCACCAATATCTAATTCCTGGACACTGTTATCAGCCCCCAAAGAAACCTGGAATCCACCCACAGTCCATGTTCCTTATCTCCCCCCGCCATTCCTTGGCAACTACTAATCTACCTTCTGTCACGGTGGATTGGCCTCTTTTATTTATTTCGTATAAATGGGATCGTACAATCTAAGGCCTTGTGTCTGGCTTCTTGCATTTAGCATAATGCTTTTAAGACAGTCATGTTGTAGCAGGCGTCAGTACTTCATTCTTTTTAAATTGCTGCGTGGTACTCCACTGCAATTTGTTTATGCATTTGTCATTGGGTGGGTATCAGCACTGTTTCAGCTTTTTTTCTTATAAGTTACGCCGTTATGAACACTTGAGTGCCAATTTTTGTGTGGACATGCTTTTTTGTTCTGCTGTGGACTTGCTGGGTCCTCTGGACACAGGATGCTTAACTCTTTGAAGTACTGTCACACTGTTTCTATTTCTATTTCCATGAGCAGTGTGTGAGATATCCAGCTTTTCCATGCCTCGCCAACACTTCTGATTGTTTAATTACAGCCATCCTAGGACTGAGACCTGCATCTTAATGTGGTTTGGATTTCCTTTTCCCTAGTGACTAATGACATTCAGTGTCTTCTTGTGTGCTAGTGTGATTTGGAAATCTTCCTTGGAGAAATGTGTATTCAAATCCTTTGCTTGTTTTTCAGTTGAGTTGTTGCCTTTTTATTGTCAAGTTGGAGGGGTTCTTTATATACTGTGAATACTAGTCCCTCATCAGATATATGATTTGCAAATGCTGTCTCCAATTCTGTGGGTGATCTTTATATTTTATTAGTTGTGTTTTTTTAAGCACAGTCTTTATTTTTCATGAGGTCCAATTTGTCTATTTTTTCCTTTCATTGCTTATACTTTAGGGGCCAAGAAACCATTATGTAGGCCATGAAGTTTTACACTTGTTTTCTTTTAAGAGTTTTATGGGTTTAACGGTTCCATTCATATCTCTGATCCATTTTGAATTAATTTTTTGTATATGGTTTAAAGTAGGAGTCTGGCATCATTCTTCTGCATGTGGATGGGTAGACAATTATCCCAGAACCATTTGTTGAAAAGACAATTCTTTCCCCCACTGAATTTTTATGGTAACCTACAAACAGCAACTTTTCTTTTGGTATTGTTTGTTTTCAACATTTCTAGGATGTTATCACTTATTTCTCTTTCAAATGAATTTTAGAATCAAATTTTTATTTCAGCTTGGTTTTCCATTGAGGGTATAGGTCAATTTGGGGAGAGCTTGCATTTTCACAAAGACTTGCTCTATTCATGCCCATGTAGGGCTCTTCTTTTAATGAGGCCATTTTTTTGTCCTTAAGTTTATTTGTTTTCTTACATGTGGTGATCAATTTTTGTAAAGCTTATAGTAGGTATTGTATAGATTTATTGATATCATTGTATAGATTTATTGATATCATGATAGAATCTTTTTTTCTATTATGTCTCACATTTTGCTATTTTAATGTAAAGGGAAACTTTTGGTTTTGTAAGTTGATCTGGTATCAGACATCTTGCTGATGATACCAGTTTAATAGTTTGCAGCAAATCTTGGATTTTCTGTGCTGTTGAACATATCAATAATAAACAATGCAAGTCTTATGGGTTTGTTTTTGGATCCTCCCTACACATCATGGGGTGGGATGGCTGGCGTCCAGGGACCAGGGCAGGAGAGGGACTCAGGGGCAGAGGCAATGGGGGATGGGGGTATTAGTTCTGCTTGGCTGTGGATGCAGGCACAGGAATGAATGTGGCACTAGCAGTGGCCTGTTCCTCCCCAGTGCAGCTGTTCTTGTTAATAAGTGTGTAGCATAGTCAAGGGCACGTGGGAGGTTTGAACAGGGTTGAGGATGCCCCACCAGTTGCATCAGATCCACCAGGCCATCAAGGAGGCCAGCCCTTGCTGCCAGTGTGCCTCCTCAGCATGGCTGTGAAACAGATTTTGGATGGCTCCACGGTCCCCTCTCTCTAGGTAACTCCTAAGAGAGGCACGATGATAATTCTCTGACTATGAGGAGATTACATAATTGGGCTGAAACACCTCAGGGCGTCAGTAAGATTCTGATCCCCATCTAGGCTGTGGCTCGTGGGGTGTGGGGATTTCGGCCCTGGGCACACAGAGGCATGTCACAGCCCAAGATAGCTCAGTGCGAAGTGACAGCAGCTGTGGTTGGAGTTTAGCCTGCCTGCAGTGACCTCACCCTCTAGGTTCTGACTGCTGCTGATTTTTGGGGTCCATCTTAGAATCTCCTCCATTTTAGAGAAATATGAAATGCCACCATAGGTGAAAACTGGTTAAATACTGGCTAAGTCCTGATTTGAAAACTGGAAACTAATTTGATAATAATATTTTTCTCAGCTAAATAACAGTTAAATAATTAACCTGCCAAATACTGTTTAAAAACCAAGTAGTGACCTCTGAAAATTCAAACTCATTTATTCTAAATTTCAATTTACTTTTGTAATAGATTATTTATCAAATGTGCTTTCGAATTAAATACACAGAAATATAAGCTCATTAAAGCATGAGCTGAGAGCAAATTAGTATCAAATTAATTTCTAGTTCAACATCTGGTTGAAGGATTGCTTATGAAGGAAGGAGGAGATAGGGTTTTGCTCCTCTGAGCTATTCCTTAAACAACACCAGCACTCTCAGTCATCACGAGAGCTAACGACTTATGCCTCAGCTCTGACACCACTATCCCCTTCAGACAGTTGACTACCAAGCAGGGATTAACTTCTTACGTTACTATACATAATTGCTAGAATTCTAAATTGCAGGTTCTCCAGGATAATTCTGACTTCATGAAATTTAATTATTTGAGCATGACTCAGTGAATGTGTAAATAAATGTGATTTAGTTTCTATAATGTGACACCTGATTTGATAATTTCACAATGCAATGAAGAAAAAACATGGCTGTCATACCATGTATACATGATTGACTAGAAAATTTGATTGTGGGAGTGACAGAAACATATTTTCTGATCTTAATGGGGGTTTGATCTCTTAGGCAGGAGGCAGAAGGAGAGGAGCCTTGCAGGCAGCATCACGACCAGTGGTGTCTGCTCAAGGTCCCCAAGCCAGTGTGTGCTGTATTCCAAAGCCAGTGGTCATTATACACTGATGCCCAGAGACAGAGGCGCACAGGTCTCATGGACACTAGGCCTGTTGCTGGCTGGATGTGCCATGCTGGCAAGGAACATGGCAGAGTGCCAGCATGCCAGACAACGTCTGCACCCTACAGCTCCCTGAGCCAACTGATCACCACAGTAGCTCCTTGCTGGAGAGCTATGGCTCTCCACACATTTTCCCAGAATGCACCCATCTCCTCTATCTGATTGCCCCAAAGGCATCAAACTGTACAGTCCCCTTCCTCATGCTCGCATCTGTGAAGGCATCACTGAACAAGATGCTGTCCTCCTAGGGCAGTTGTCTTTGCCTCATTCTGCTGATCTAATACATTCTATTTCTACCAACAAAACCTAACATGGAAAAGAGTCCCAAACATGCACGGCCACAAAATTACATCTTTCCCTTTACAAAACCTCTAACCATGTATTTTATATACTTATTATTTAACCTAATACATTTCCCCACTCCAGTAAGATACGTTTTCCTTCTGTCCAATGCTATCAATCATATGTAATGGTGGGTAAGAGGAAGCTGGAATAAGAACTCTTGAACTTGAAAATTGGTAGCCCTTAACTCTACGCCCTGCGGGAAGTCAAATCAGACTTCTGGTACTCAACTCTCAGTAGACTAGAAATAAAGGAATTTTATATGCTAAAGTGGTAACAAAAATGGCCCGACCTTGTGATTAAAAAGACTGCTAGCAGACAGAGTCAGTTAGCATGTGCCCAGAGAACGGTATTTTCATCGCTTCTTTTCCTGGGAATTCAGAGAGCCTGCCCCCACCCCTGCCATAGGCAACACAACAAAAGGCCTTGCAAGATGTAGCTGAAAGAAGCCACATCAGGCCAACCTCGCTCTTTGGGCCAGATACTCCCCCAACAGTTGTGGAAAATGAGGCCTTGCTAGCTCAACAGTCTTTGAAGGTCACAGAGGCAGCTTCTGGCAGGGCAGGACCTCAAACCCAGGTCTCTATACTCCTGGCTGGCTTCCCTCCATGACTTCTTGCATGACACTCTCATGAGTGTCTTTCTTTTTTTAGAATGAAAACTCCCACCTAAAATGCAAACTTGCACGCATGCTGTCTTGTGGTCTCTCACTATGATGTTACTTATGGGACTGAAGGAAAGTGAAGTCATTCCCAAAAGCAGAAAACAGTCTGTGGAGTAGGGGAAGGAGGGGAAGGGAGGGGGAGAGGGAGACAGAGCTCTACTGCACTTCCCCAGGAAGGTGGTGGGCCTTTGTTCCCTATATGGAACATCAAGCCTCCACTGAGCACATGCTTGCTTGAGACCAAAACAAGGTGACAGTTCACCAAGCAAAGAGTGACTGCAGCCTCTGTGTTTGCAGAGCTAGCTACCCCAGCTCAGCCCTGAGCTCCTGCAGGGCAGGATCAGTGAGAAAACAGTGGACACACCCATCCTCCCAGGGCTACCTATGCTCCCACAACTCTAATGATTATCACGTCTGCTTAGAAACTGCACAGGCCTAACCCAGGGGCCATTCCAGTTCCTTTGCGTTGGAGAACCCATGCGTAAGAAATCACGTTCGAGTTCTCTGGGACCTCCTGGCAAATCAGGCCTGGAAACAGCACGTCCGCAATCATGAGACCACAGAGCAATCCAGAGATGGAAGTCTTCAGTTGAGACTTGGAGTCTGAGTTTTTAATCTGGGAAATGGGATGGGCACTTAATTGCCCAGAGATTTATGGATCAAAGGATCATGAAGAACCTTGTGAGATGCAAGGCATCCTTAGCCCTTGGAATACCAAAATAGGTAAGAACTTGCAGCCTGTTATGCTGTCAGCTCTACTTTCCACCTACTGTTCTCCTCCGTACCAAACCCTTGCTCAGTGTAGTTTTGTAGACGAGTGTGAGAGAAACAAACCTGTCAGAAAGAAAGGGTGCTATTTGCGTGCACCCCCTCACTTGTTCCTAACTTTCAGGTCCTGATCTTCTTAGGTGCTGGGGAGGATTTTGTGCAGAACCCTGAAAAGGCACACAGGGGGCAGTGGGCAGGGGCAGAAGACCCAAGGGGCTGCTTGCTATCTGATGGAGGCGTACCAGTCTCATGAGCTTGGTTACTGGCGACTCACCCACGTTTGTCAGCTGAGGTTCACTTTATCATCTATCGCCACGATCTATGAGGGATTTGAGGAGGAAAATGGCGCAGTGTAGGAAAGGGCTGTTGTAAGTGATGACAACAGCAGAGCAGTGGCTGTGGCTAGCTCACTTTTCTTTTTTTTTTTTTGCATTTTTTTTTCATTTTTCTTTTATTATTCATATGTGCATACAAGGCTTGGTTCATTTCTCCCCCCTGCCCCCACCCCCTCCCTTACCACCCACTCCGCCCCCTCCCTCTCCCACCCCCTCAATACCCAGCAGAAACTATTTTGCCCTTATTTCTAATTTTGTTGTAGAGAGAGTATAAGCAATAATAGGAAGGAACAAGGGTTTTTGCTGGTTGAGATAAGGATAGCTATACAGGGCATTGACTCACATTGATTTCCTGTGCGTGGGTGTTACCTTCTAGGTTAATTCTTTTTGATCTAACCTTTTCTCTAGTTACCTGTCCCCTTTTCCATTGGCCTCAGTTGCTTTAAGGTATCTGCTTTAGTTTCTCTGTTAAGGGCAACAAATGCTAGCTAGTTTTTTAGGTGTCTTACCTATCCTCACCCTCCCTTGTGTGCTCTCGCTTTTATCATGTGTCAAGTCCAATCCCCTTGTTGTGTTTGCCCTTGATCTAATGTCCACATATGAGGGAGAACATACGATTTTTGGTCTTTTGGGCCAGGCTAACCTCACTCAGAATGATGTTCTCCAATTCCATCCATTTACCAGCGAATGATAACATTTCGTTCTTCTTCATGGCTGCATAAAATTCCATTGTGTATAGATACCACATTTTCTTAATCCATTCGTCAGTGGTGGGGCATCTTGGCTGTTTCCATAACTGGCTATTGTGAATAGTGCCGCAATAAACATGGATGTGCAGGTGCCTCTGGAGTAACAGTCTTTTGGGTATATCCCCAAGAGTGGTATTGCTGGATCAAATGGTAGATCGATGTCCAGCTTTTTAAGTAGCCTCCAAATTTTTTTCCAGAGTGGTTGTACTAGTCTACATTCCCACCAACAGTGTAAGAGGGTTCCTTAGCTCACTTTTCTTAAGGCTTGACTCAGTGTCCACTGCTTCACCTCCACAGCGTGTGGCTGGTTAAGGATTTAGATCCTGTGGCTACTTTCCTAATGTCCACACTTCTGCCCCAGTCAGAAGGCCTGGCTCCGAGCCTTGCCTCTAAATTCTCCTGGACACTTTAGAGGAATGAAAGTCGCCAGGGCCTGGACTCCCTTTGGGAGATGGCTTGGTGCTTCCATTGCTTGACTCTGACAGTGTCCTTGCCCTGGCCATCATGTCACCTGTTGTCAGCTTCCTGAGGACAGGGCCTTGTCCTCCCTCTGGGACCTTACTGAGCTGAGTTCAGACAGGCCCCACAATGAGCCGTTTGGTGAGTTTCCAGGGGTGGCCTGACCTCTATCTTCATATTCTAGGACTTGGTTCATCCAAACATTCTCTTCTCTCCTCCAAAAGCATGTCAGAGGTTGCCCTTTGTAAATGAGTGCCAGTCTGTTCCCTAGTCTTCCTCACTACCATATGATAGACTAATTCCATGACAACAAACACATAGCAACATGGCTCCCTTCTGCTCCGAGCCAGATTGAAATCAGGGACAGCACTTCCCAGTGGCCAGGCACTCCGATTCAGGAGGCAGATCTTAGGGGCTGGGATCCTCAATAGCTATAGCCTTGGTTTAGTAACTTTGCCTCTCTGTGCCTCAGTCTCCCCATTTGGGTATAAAAATAACAAAAATTGACTGATGACGAGGATCAATTAAGAAAGCTAAGGTGCACAGCGCCTTGCAAAATATTGATGTTCACTCAGGATTACCTGTCCTATTGGGCACTCAGTAACATTTGTGGAGTGAGTGAATGAGTGAATGCATACATGCATGGAAAAGGTTGGGGGTGCCACCTTTGTGTGGTAAAGTCTAAGAAATTTGCACTTGATCAAGGGTGGGGGGAACTGCTAATGATCTGAGAACATCAAAATACAATGGCAATGGGGAGTGACAGAAATAGAAAGATGTTTTAGGCAGAAGGGGTCTGGATTGAAATCAGGTAAGACTGGAAGTTGGGGAGAGTCAGGTGGCCAGACATCTTCAGATGGAGAAGAAAGTAGGGACCGGACTGGCGCATGCAGGGAGTAGATGAGGGTTGCTACAGAGCAGAGGTTTTTGTGGATGGGGAAGACCTGGGGGGAGCAGCCAGTGATGAGGGCTTCCGTCAGAAGGAACGAACTGAGTGGCCATTAGAGAGGCAAGCACAACAGGCATGGGTGCTGGTGCTCATACCTGTAATCCCAGCTACTCAGGAGGCAGAGATAGGAGGATCACAGTTTGAAGCCAGCCTGGGCAAATAGTTTGCCACACCCTATCTTGAAAAAGCCCTATCACAAAAAAATCAGGCTGGTAGAGTGGCTCAAGGTGAAGGCCCCGAGTTCAAGCCCCAGTACCAGAAAAAAAAAGAAAAAAAAAAAAAGAGGCAAGCAGAAGAGTTGGGGAGTTAGGGGCAAGGGGCATGCAGGGACATGGGAAATTCAGTGCACTTCAGATGGTTTCCAGAGTGATGGCTTTGCTCACACTTGGAACACTTAGGAGACAGGATATGCGCTGACTTCCCTCTCTCCTCCAGAACCATCCTCCCTTCTTTTCAGAAGCTTTCTAGCTGCAGAGAGCAAATGTCCATTTGCCCAATGTGCTTAGTCAAGCCAATTGTCAAAGATTCTACTTGCATTCCACAGGAAATAGTTGTCATGGAAATGGCTGGGATGTCACGCCAACAACACCTTTAACAAAATATTAGACTCCATGACCTGCTGCGGTCGAGCCTCAGTTAGCATTGGCTGGCTGCCTTCTGAGGTCTCTTCTAAGAAAGATTTCCAGTATCATATTACAAGAAACACATAAGATACATGGAACATTTTTGGCCAGTTCTCATGTGTACGGGCCATTCTTCTTTCTTTCCATTTCTATGCACCTGGCCTCCATGGCAGTGCCTCTCACCTGGGCTTCCAGCTCCTGACCCTCTGGCTACTTCCTCATGCTTGGGTCAGTGGAGTCTTCTCAGAGTCCAAACATGGTGACAATGCCTTGGGGAAAGTCTTGTAATGGCTTCCCAGTGTTTCCCTACCATGAACAAGTTTATTACCAGTCTCCAGGTCCTGTACACGCTGATCTTTGCTACCATCTACACATTTCCCTTCCCCAGGAAAACTCTGCACCCGCCTGGAATGTTCCTCCCTCTCCTGGCCCCCGATTCATGCTTTCCTACCACAGTGCAGAGGGCACAAGGGAGCTCTGGGTGGTGATTCTCCCTTTCCCAGGGCTGCTTTTGTGCATGTGAACAGCACAAATGTCATGCCTACTGTCTCCCACAGGCCTTATTAGAAGTGACAATATAAAACATAATCCTCCCTTAGATGTGGTCAACAAAGGACAAAGTCACAAGTACTTCATCATGTCAGGACAATGGAGAGAAGGGACGAGATGAATTCCATGCATTAAAATCAGTCACTCCTCGGAGTCAGCCAGCTTACACTGACCGCTGAGGTATTAAAAACAAAACAAAAGTACTACAGCCAAAGTGGTTCTTATTGTATACATAACCTCAAATTTAGGGAAACTCGTTGAGGGCTGACTTTAGAAGATGAAGAGATGAATCAGCAAATTTCTTTTTGTTTTGCATCCTGATTCAATAAGAGCCAATCTCCTCCCCAGGCTGCATCTGTCTCCTCACCATCAACAGTAATACATGGCCTGGGACTTTCCGAGGTCCAGATGACTGGCCCGCGGGCTGTGTGTTGAGAACCAGCTTTCTCAGTCCTTATCTTTACAGTAACATAGCTGACGCTTAGGACGGCACTCGGAATGGGTGAAGTCAGGTTTTGGATGAAAAAGAGGGGTTATTTTTCTAATTATGGCAGCGAGGGTGCTGTGGCTTCTGGGTGGTTGAGGGTATCAATTAATCCATCCTCCAATTGCTTTGCCTACTGAAGAAAGATTCAGAGTAGGCTGAAGGTCACAACACAGCGTCAGCTTGAGAGCCTTTCAGTAAGGGGCTTCTGGGATGTTCTGCAGAGGATACTAGCTGAGGCCTGGTAGAAGTGAGGATTCTGGAAATTTCTACCCTACTGCTCTTGCCAGCCAAAGCTTGGTACCCATCCTGGGGAAGGACCTGGCCATCCATCTCCTCATGGGAAGATGGGGAGAAGGAAAGACACAGCTCCTGGCTCTGCACACACACAGAGCCCCCCGCCCTGTGGAGAGATTATGGATCTGGAATCTTCCAGACCAATTTTGGACCTAGAGAATTTCTCTCTTGAGAAATTACTGAGTTTAAGTGTTATGTTGGTATTAGTGGGTTTTTAAAAATTATGATCTTACTAAGAAGCAAAAAAAAAATGCCTTAGTTCACCTAATTTTTAATGGATTTCTTAGATTTTAAGAAACCCTTTAATTGGGAGTTGGGCTAAAGCATTAATTCTAGATGAATCTATAGCTAGATTTAAAGGTTACAGTTAGAGTCTTTCCATTATTTCTTATATGCTGTCACAATTCCTTTACCATCCTTTTGAATTCATCTTTTTATCAGTACATTATAATAATGTTTTTTTTTCTTGCCCTAAGGTCTAGCTTGTCTGCAGATTTCTTTGGATTAAGATTTCTTAATCCAATCCTTTTTGTTACCATTCCTTTCCTTTCATAATCATTTTGTATTTGGGTGTGTGACTCTTGTAAAATTTATGTAGCTGGATTTCATTTTAAGTTTAACAAATTTATTTACATATAGTGAGATTAATAGGCTTCTCCTTTTCATCTTAGTTTGTGTCTTACGTACATTTTCTTCTTTATTCTTTTCCTTCTTTCCTGCCCTTTACTAAGTTGATACACTATTTTTATTCATTCTCAATTATTTGGAATTATACATTCTCTTTTTCTTTTCTTTAAATTGTTACGCTTGAAATTGCAGAACACATATTTTACTTATCAAACTCCAAAGTTTATTTGCACGTCTATTATTCTTTAGCACAATACAAATTCTTAAACTGTTTTAAATCTATTTCTTTGTTTTTATAATTTATAATTGTTTTAATAATTTAGTCATTATTGTTGTGCTTGTTATTTTAAGCAGACATTCACATGCAATTATTTTGCTTACTATTGCTTCTGACCACCCGTTGTTCATTTCCTTCCTATTCGGGTACTGTCATTAGGTGTTCTTGGGTAAGTATTTTTCGCTCAGATGCGAGAGTCCTCTTCTCTTTATATGAGTGTGTCTACTTTACTCTTATTGTTGTAAAATAACTTCAGTATAAGGCTGACTGTGGCCATAATTTTCCCTCTGCTCCCCTGAAGTTTTAATTCTGTGGTTGTTAATGAGAAATCTATTGTTGATTCAATGGTTATTGTTTTGTACAAATTTCTCTTTGTCTCTGCTTGTTTTATGACTTCATCTTCAATGTTTTGCAGTTTCTCTATAAGTCATCTGGTGCATTCTGATTCTTCCTGATTGGGACTTGGTGGCCGTTCTTCAAGATTCACATCTTTCTTTAATTCGGGGACATTCTGACCACATTCTGTTTAATCATTGCTTCTTTCCTATTTCTGAAAAATATATTTTCCTAGGAGAATCTCTATTAGACCTACTCTGTTCTCTGTACATTTTTAATCTGGTTTTTCTATTATCTTGTATTCCTGGAAGTAGTAATTCGCTTCTTTTGTCCACTGATGGTCACGTACAGTGGCTTTGTTCATTGTTTGGTTTGTAATTGTGACTTGGGACTCATCTTTAATGTTTTTATTATCCTTTTCTCTTCTTTGCATGGGCAGTTCACATAACCTGAGCTGTAGAAATATCCCTAAGGAACAATTCTGGGTTGGCTTCAGCCTGGGCCCATGGGGGCTTCACTGATTTGAGACCAGTTTTGAGGTCAATATGTTGCCTGGGAATTCCATTCTTATGATGGTATTAAAATTTTGAACACGGGCCCAGCCCATTTCACTCAGTCACAGACACACACACACACACACACACACACACACACACACACACACGCATGCATGCACACACAACCACAGCTGGATGGGGTTTCCTATTTCTTGTGGAATCTTTTTTGCTGTTTGGGATTTCTGGCAAACAATTCTTTCTTGCCTCTTTTCTCACACCAGAAGGAGCTCTCCTGGGGAGCCAGCTTTTGTGAGATTCCATTGGTAGAGATTCCATGTCTCTTGCTCCCACCCCTAGCACCTGGCTTTGGGTCCTGAGTAGCTCTTGGAATCCAGCAGCTCCAACTGAGCAGTCAGTGCTCTCTCTGTCTCTACCTCAGTGTGATTTTGCTGATTCTGTTTTAATCTTGTGTCTTCTTGGGGCTGGGAGAGAGCAGTATCCCACCCCACTGTGTTTCTGGAAAGGGGGAGCATCCATTTGTAAGCACCCAGAGCCAGACTCACGATAAGAACAGTGTTGGCATAATGCAGAGAAAGAAGAAAGCACAGCTTGCCTCCAGCTAGTTTGTTTTAAAACAAATACTGATAGCTCTTAAAGACACGTAGCCTGCTTTTCTGCCCTCAGAGGGCAGCAACTTTGGCCTCTGCTCTGCGTTTTCATATTCCTGCATGGGACTATATGCATGCATACAGAATGCACAAACGAAATGAATATTTTGTTGAAGTTAGACAGAAAAGTTCAAGTGTCAGAAAAGTTGACTAGGAGGTGGTAAATGTCATATTACAGTAATACTGTTCATTTTTTCAGTACTAGGGATTGACTCCAGGGTCTGATGCCTCTTGAGCATGTCTAATCCTCTTGTTTTTGTATTTTGTTTCTCACATAGGGTCTCCGTAACTTTGCCCTGGCTGGCCTAAAACTCAAGATCCTCCTGTCTCTGCCTCCTGAGTAGCTGGGATTACAGTTGTGTGCCATTACACCTGGCAGTGATACTCTTGATATAGAACCAGATCAACATTGTGGATACATTTAAGCAGAGTCCCTTTTCCTTAAGTTTTCTTTAAGGTCCTTCAAAGTCTAATGCATCAAAATTCAGCCCAGGTAGAGCTACTTCCTAAGCACCCCTAATTTTGCTTAGATTTTCTAAAAACAGTCTTCCCATGATCATCCTGTAGACCTTGGAAGGTGGTTTCAGGGTCAGCCCTGCCATACAGGTTCAAAGGGCTGTCCTGATACGTACTTGGCCCAGGCCAAGTTTTTCTGGAGTAACTCTGGATTCCTAGACACTGGGGGATAGACACCCAGGGCTTCTTGGGGCCTAAGTTATGAATCTGAACATGTGACTTGCTGGAAACAGAATGGCTACAAAGCAGAAGCGCAGATTCAACAACTCAGGGTTCTGTTGATCCAAACATGCAGCACTCACCGTGTAATTGCGGGCGAGGGAGACATCGGTGCCGTCCTGCAGGTAATGGGTTTCTGTGAAGCTGCTGGCAATGAGACCTCTGTGGAAACATAAGAGCCACATGACAGGTGAGTGCAGGAGCTCTGCTGATACGCTACTGTGAATGGCTGGGTCACCAGGCAGCGAGGTGCTGACTGCCTCCTTATTGCACAGGTGATGTGCTGAGGCCACCATAGGGCCTTCTCCCATTCCGGTTGTCAGGGAGAATTTGGAGGAGACCCAGGCGGGTGAAGACTGACTACATGTGCACTGAACAACAGTGCACCGGGTACATGGATTCGTCCACTCCTCCCACCTCATTCCTCCAGCGCACACACCTGAGTGCACACCTTTGCACATGTGCGCACGCACACACACACACACACACACACACACACACACACACACACACACACACACACACACACACAGTTCAGAGCTTTCTGAGCTGAGACCTCACACCTGGAGCTCATACTGCTCCATGGCCCTAGAATCAATGGCCAAGTCAACCTCCACAATAGAGGCCCACCGGTGAGAGAACCAGATGTCAATTTTGAAATGTCACAGATGAAATTAAAATAACAATGAAATGTTGAAAGCAGTAGTGCAGGTGAGAAGAGAAGAAAAATGATTTTGGACACACTGAAGTATTGAATTTCCAAGATAAACTGGACAAAAGGAACCACCCCCCCATTTATCCTAAAACTGTGTAATCCACTAGGATAATCCACTGTCCTTCACTGAGGACAAGAAAGCAGGCATTATTTAGGCTTTAAATGGTTTGGCAGCTTCTTAAGTGATCTGTGCTATTTTATCCTGCTCAACACGACCACAGGCAGTACTTCCTGTGCACCTATTTGTGCTGGCTTCTAGCTGCTGGGATATGAGGATAAGACCAGCCCTTGTTCTTGAGGACACTGCAGCCTGGGGTGACAGGTGAAACATCCTGCAGTGGGGAGATATGTCACAGAGTAGGAGAGACATCTTCTTGGGTGAACAGATGTGCAGTAGGCAGAAAGAGAAGGGGAAGGGAGAGTTTGCAGAGGAGCTGGCAATCACTGGGCCCCAGCAGATAGAGTAGGAGGTGAGTGAGAGGGGAAGGGAAATCCAGGAATACTTGAAGAGTATGGAGTCTGGGGAGCCAGGTTGGTACAAGGGCTGTAAACAGAACCTGGATTTTATCTATCTAGGAAATAAGGAATCAAGAGTTGTTTTAAACCCTGACCTTTGCAGAGGTACAGTGGAGTTTGGTAATGCTATCTTTCCTTGGATCTTCACACCATTGACTCCGGTGGGGCTCTCTCCACTCCTGGAGGTGGCTCTGGGTCCAGAGATGAACACATGACCCAAGGATGAACCAATCATGAATCCTCCCTACAGCCTACTGTGAGTTGGGACTTCTGGGGAAGAGGTCTTCCTCTTGTTTGCAAGGCTTCAGAATGTAGCTGCAGGCCTCCAGCCTGGTCCCTCCTTGGGAAGATGCTGGCAAGGGAGACAAAGCTGTCATTGTGTGGTGACACGGAGGAAAAGGAGGGAGACTGTCTGTGTGCCCCCAGGTTGACACCCCTCTCCTTTTCTTCATGAATTCCTCTTTGGCTTGAGATGGTTCAGTTTGCGTTTTGCAGCCAGCATCCTGCTAAGTATGGCAGGGAAGGGATTTCCTACGGCCCTCCCCCAGCCAACTTCAGCATTAAGGGTAATCTCCCTATTTTACATGGATTTTGATATATTCAGGAAAGGCCTGGTTTAAATCAGTTGAACCTTTACGGCGGGTCTGAGTTGTACTGGATTTAATAGTGAGTGTTTGGGGAGAGTGTGCAGAAAGTATAAGATACAGACAATCCTTTGCACTCCCTGATGGGGCACAAGGGATGTCCTTCCCTTTGCCCTTGTTCCTCACTATGCAGTGGAGCATACAAATCATGCTGAAAAATGCATTTGGCTCTCAAAGACCCATCTTCTAAACTCCCCACCTCCTCTGAGCTACCCAGGGCTTCCCTGGGCAGGCCATTCCTAGGGAGACACAGCCCTGTGGGGACTGTCAGGAGCAAAGGAGAGAGAAGCAGGGAGGGAGAGCAGGAGAGCAGCAGAGCAGGTGGGGGAAGCTACAGGAGCCTGAAGAGAGGAGTTTAGACAAGGGGTGCACAGTGTTCACATGGCATAGGTCTCTAGGAGGGTGGAGGAGGCTGGTGACCTTGACAAGGACAGAAATAGTGAGAAGGGCATGAGGAAGCTAAATGGATCCTTTTCAGAGAGTGATTTTCAAGGGAAACAGAGAGATGTGACGTCAACAAATGGGGACTTGGTCATTGGAACGGGATGGGCTGAGAAGATGAAGACATGGCGAGAGGAGACGTGGGGACATCAGCCGCAGAGGCCCAGGCAGAAGGATATGCAGAGCTCTATGTGGTGCTCACTCCTATGTGGAGAGAGGACTTGTCATGGCTTCAGTGGTCTCAGGAGGAGGACACTTGGCCAGCTCCAAGATCACAGAAAGGAGAAGAAAACATTAATACAGTCTAAATTATATCATTACTTATTGTACTGCTTCCTATTCTTTAATAATTTTACTTATCCCATGTCTTATTATTAATTTATTAGTGATTTGAGTCTTAGCAAGGTTGGGGCTCTGTAGAATGAAGAGACATCATCTAAGGCCTCAGACCAGGCCCTGCTGAAAGCCAGTTGAGATGGACATCTGGAGAAAACTCCTTTCATGCCTGAGAGAGATGGAAAGTCCATCATAAAACTGGGGAGAGGGAAAAGGAGCTTTCAGGAGACAGTGGTCAGCAAATGAAGAGACAGAGAAGTTTGGGGGTGAAACAGCAATAAAGCTAATTACTGTTTTTTAAAACCGTGACTCAGTGCAGTACTATTTTCATTGTCGTGGAAATGTCATTCAAGTCCAGCAGAAATACAGCCTTGGTCACACTTCAGGCTCCTGAGACTTCCTGGTACTACCGTGCAGTTTCTCTGTGACTGCAGAGTCCCAGTGCTGGTGGCAGAAGGTGACAATGCAGGAGCCACAGACTTCCTAGCATGACTTATTCTGGGGCTCCTGCTCCCTGCTCTGATTTCCTCTGCGCCAGCTCACATCTCCCTCAGGTCCTCCTCAGGCTCAGGACACCCCCTGCTTACAATCTTTTAGTGCCTTCCCATGACTCTGAGGCGCTCATGACCTCACCCTACCCACTCTTCCTCTGCACCTAAGCAAGTTCCCCTCTAGCTTACACTTACCCCAGCCAACATTAGCCTCTGGATGGTTCTAGAGCATTCCAGACTCTTTCCCATTGAGGGCCTTTCCCATTGGCCAGCCCTGTGTCTGGACCATCCTTTGCATGGTTTCTTTTCACGCAGCTGGTATGTGTCACCCTTCTGCTTTTAACTTAAATGTTGTCTTCAGAGGGGCCTTTCCTGATCATCTCATCTAAAGTGGCGCCATCACAGTTTTGTCCCATGTCCCAGAGCTCCTTGGGCTTCCTGGGCAGCACAGCATCCATCGGCTTACTTCCTTATCTGTCCCTCCTCTCAAGAATGGAGTGTGTCCCCTTTCCATGGCAGTTAATGCTTGCAAAGCATTTCTTTTGGTCAGACACTTACTAGGCTTGTTGTATCCTTCTAGTACCAAGCTCCATGAGTTAGAGAATCTATTATTTTTTTTGGGGGGGGGGGCGTGGTACTGAAGTTTGAACTCAGGGCTTCACACTTGCTAGGCAGGTACTCTACTGCGTGAGCTACACCTCCAGCTCCTTTTGCTCTGGTTATTTTGGAGACTGTCTTGCTTTTTGCCCAGGACAGTCTGGTTTGCAATCCTCCTATCTTTTGTACTTCCCACCATTGCTGAAATGACAGGTGTGCACCATCATGCTCAGTGTTTATTTTTTCATTGAAATGGCAGTCCCGTAAACTTTTTTACCTGATCTGTCCTGGAACTGTGATTCTCCTGAACTCAGCCTAACCATGTAGCTTGGGATGACAGGCAGGGTCCCAACTATTGGTTGAGGTGGGATCTTTGCCTGGGCTGGCCTTGAAGCATGATCCTTCAAATCTCAGCCTCCTAAGTACCTAGAGTTACAGGCATGGGTCACCAGCACTTGGCTATTCTTAATTAATCTATTCTATTAGTAGATTAAAATAGATCAATTAATCTATCCTATTAATCTATTAATCTGGTATTAATCCATTCTTAATCCCATTTAAAGAGGGAATCAAGGTACAGGGAGGTCAAGTGAACTATTCAATGACACACTGAATGTGGCAGTGCCAGTGGGTTTGGCATTAGAACTTGTGCTCTAAACTGCTGTGTGGTGCTAGCAGACTTTACAAGCTGGTCAAACAATATTTACAGAGCACTTCGTGTAGTGATGGCTAGATATGTGTTGAGTGGAATAAAGGACGAATAAAGGAATGAATCTGAAAAAATCCAGCAAGCACTGCACAAGGGTCCAGAGCCATGACAAACCTGAGAAGATGCTTGACTGTGGTGTTTGAAGATGTGTGTCTGATTTAAAGGTGGCTGGAAGTCGTAGGCCTCTGGAGAAAATTAAGAAGGACAGATGGACAATGGCCATATTGGAAATATGACAGCAATAATCCTGTAGATTTCCCCAAAGAGAAAATCCAATTAGATGGACCCTCTCATGTCAGCAAATGGAAACAGAAGGTGAATGCATAATTTCACGAGAACATTCTTTCTCTTTGCTTATTGGATTAGCGGATCTAACAAGGCATTCTGTTCCTCTCGACACCAGAAAATAAAATGAGTGGTAACAGTGCCAGGAGTTGGTTTTGCTGTTTTCCATATGCTTAGCTGGTATAAGTGATACCTAAAGATCCTTTCACTTAACCAGTATTTTTGGTGCTGGACATGTCAATAGGACACTGCAAGTAGTCCCCTGTGGAAGGAAGCTATGCCTACCACTGTACCCCCAATACCGCATGGGAGTCCCCATAGGGGAAGGATGGACCCGGACTGGCCAAGACTCCATGACAAAGACATGCCAGGAGCTGTGTGTGTGGTCAAGGAAGGGTTTCTAACCCCACAGCCAGCCTGGGAATGGG